GCTCTCATTGGGGTGAGCCCGGCCTGGATCCATGGGTTAAAACCCGACCTGGATCCATGGGTTAAAACCCGACCTGGATCCATGGGTTAAGGCCCGGTTAGGCTCCATGGGTTAAAACCCAACCTGGATCCATGGGTTAAGGCCCGGTTGGGCTCCATGGGTTAAAACCCGGTTGGGCTCCATGGGCCCCCAGGCCTCTCCAGAGTGGGACCCCATGTTCGGGCGAATACGACCCCTGTTTCCAAAGGTCGTATTCATCATGAGGATCTTTGGGCTGCACTTGGTCTGGTTCCTCTCCTTGGACCCGTCTGCATCGGGTGGCCCAACCAGAGGCATGAAGCCCCGACAGCAGAACTCCTAGGATCACTGGGACACTCAAACCCCCACCATGATAAGGTGGCAGCCATGGAGGGGATGTGAAAATGTGCATGTATGTGTGAAACTGTATGAATATTAAGTAACATATAAATTATGTAAGAAAGGGAGGAAATGAGAGAAGAAGAATGTTGTTTTTAACATGAGAAAATGAGAACAATGTGGTGCAAAGACGTTTCTTCCTGCCTTTTTCTCTTACTGTTGATGACACTGAATGAAACTCCGCTGCTCTCCACTGACCCTCCCTTCCTTACTTCCTTAGCGTAACGCCCAGCGCGCGCTGCACCATCTGATGTCGCCGATTGTCGGCCATTATCAAAACCTGAGAGACACATCAGCCGACAGAAATCCTGGCTATAACGGTTCGATCGAACCGTGTTGTGTCCAACAATGGACACAAAATAATAAATCCAGTTCACTAATTTTGAAACCTTAATCAATTCCTTACTACAATCTACCAGCAATGCATGTAGCGAGTGTCAGTCTGACTGAATGAAAATCATTATAACCATTTTATGTCACCTTAACGAAGAACAGCTGAAAAGTTACCAGGTTTTCTGGTAGAAATTTCGCTCCAACTCCTCCCCGAGTTATTTATATTTTCTTTGCATGAAATGTTGGTTAAACATTCATGTTTCCACATATCATCTCCGATGTCTGCTGGACTTCGGGTTGCACCGTGTCAGCTGTTCAGGATTCCTCTCTGTGTTGTTTTGAAAGTAAAGTGTATCTATCTGTGGCAGGAAGTCGCATGTATTATTACGTAATATCCATTAAATCAGTGTGAAAAGATCTTCAAACAATATTATAGTTTATCGCGATAATTTTTTGAGACGATTAAATCGCTCAGTAAAATCTGTTATCATAACAGGCCGAATCGCCACAGGCCTCGTTTTTTATTGAATTCACTCCTGTGTTGTTTTTTTGTCTTCTTCAATCTAAAGATGTTTCGAATTTTTTTCCAAATTGGAGTCTTTGGTTTTTTCTTCTTTCCTTCTTGTTTGCTGTTCATATCTGGAGTCTCTAAATCCTGCTGGATGGTTTCCTCATCGATGTCGTCTTGTATGGATTCCAGATCATTTGAACATCCTGGTATTGGTTCTCTTGCTAAATCCTCCTCCGAGGAAATATGATGACTAGAATCCATACCTGGGTCGACCCGGTTCTTTTCCTCCTCTTGTTGTGAAACTGTAGTTTCCTGATCTTCATGCTGATCTTCCTCAGTGTCTGGCTGCAGTTTATTTCTGGTTGTCTCCAATTCTTGCTTCATTCTGCTTATTTCTTCCTGGAACTGCTCTGCCTGTGTCTTCAACATATTAACATCATGAATGTAAGAACACTGCAGCTCCTTGAACAAAACTCTGAGCGTCTCCAGTTCATCCTGTGCATTTCTGTCCTTGTCCTGGAGGACCTGGATTTCTCGCCGTGTGTTTTCCTCCAGGACGGCGTTTTCCTGTCGCAGGCTGTCGATGAGCTGCTGCTTCTCAGTCGCTGATTGCAATGAGGCGTCTTTCTCTTGTTGTACTTTCTGTTTACATCTTTCCATCTCCTCCTTCAATCCAGTAATATCCAAGTTAAATTTAAGTTTGAGCTTGTTGTAAAATGTTTTGCTCTCATCCAATTCTTTCTTTAAAATCTTTGCGTTTTTCTTCAGGAATTTGGCGTCCTGGTTTGCTTTGCGTTGGAGGATGGCGTACTCCTTTCTTATTTTCTCCACCAGCGCCGTGTCCTCCTCTGATTTCTCCATCAGAGTTTCTTTCTGTGTCTCCAGCTTTTCAAATTGTTCAATCAATACAGTGTAGTTTAATCCAAGGATGACATTTTCTTTTCTTTCTTTGTAAAGTGCAGCTTCCTCTTTCTTTATTTTGTCTTGGTAAATCTCCGCCTGCTGCTTTAACTCGTTTATTAATTTTGATTGTTCGTTTGTTCCACGTTTGCTCTCCTCAAGTTCGGCTTGTAAACGTTTTTCATTTTCTTGCAGGAGGTCGATCTTTTGGGTCATGTCATGTATGATGTTGTCTTTCTCCACTCTGAGCTTCTCCAGGCTCTGTTCCTCATGTAGCTTTGCCTCATCACCAACGTCTGCTTCGTATTTACGGCGCAGCTCCTCATACGAAGCCTTCAGGTCATCCAGCTTGTCTTCCAGGACTTTATTTCGCTGCTTCTCATCATGCATTTCTGCCAGCAGTGCGTCCTGGATGTGGAACTGAGACACCTTTAAATCTTCGTATTTTGTTGCAGCTCCTCTTTATCCAGGTCTTCCACACTGAAGTGAGCCTGACAAGCAATAGCAACAACTTTCAGTGTTTCAGTGTCAGTGTATCTCTGGAGTCTCTTCAGCTCCTCAGTTGCTCTGTGGGCCTTGTTGAAAAATCCCACTTTGAGCTCCGTTTGTTTCTGCAGCTGGAATTTGGTTTCTTCCAGCTCCTCCTCCAGGTGGGCCAGTCTGCGGTTCTGGTGTCTTTCTGTATTTTGAGACATTTTTATTCCAGTAAAATCACTAAAGTTGTCGATTTCGAAACGAAGTGAACGGTCGATTGGAAAGTGCTTTGCGGGCGTCTGAACTGGTCAGGGGTATTGCAAGCAATGACAAATATGCAGAATTGTGTTCCATACGATTCTGCAGTTGATGACATCACAGACTGCATCGCCAATGACATCACAGAATCTTTGCTGGTGCTGTGACATCATTCCACCTCCAAATATCTTTATTCTTGTTTACATTCAAAACAGGATTCTCTTGTTTTATTCCGAATATCAGGACATGAAACTCATTTCCATTTGGGTCCAGATCAAAAACCGGAACGTTCTTAAAGGGCCTGTTGGGCCAGAACGTCTGGATAAAAACTATTAAATGGTTTTTGTCTCAATTAAACCGTCTTTTGGAGGATGATTGTGTTTGCAGAAACTTCGTAATGAATTTTGTTTGTCGTTTCTGTTTGTTATTTTATTTTGGATTTTAAAACCGTCTTCCAGTTTCTGTGTTAAATGTTCATTAGAATTTAAAGTTTATTGGTCTCTCAGAACATGTTCTTGGATTATTACTATGGGATTACCATTCTATTACATAAAAATGCTCTTCAGACAACAATATTATATTATGTGTGTTGTTGCAATAACTGCTGGACATCTCCAGCAAAATATGTGGTGACAATCTTTATCATTGTACCATTATTGTGATAATCTAAAATGAACTGAATGTAGCTAATTTTAGCTAAAAGTTAGCTACACCTTTCATCTTCATCAGATGGAGTCTTCTTCAAACCTTCCTGCAGGAAGCCTTGGATTTATGGAGTTCTGTGTTCCTCCAATGGGAATTCATCTACCTGAGCCTGTCCTGCTGTTGAAGGCCAAATAAAGCTTTTTTCTCCTCCCCACATTTTCTTCTTCACATCAGCTAAATGTGAAGTCAGACTCTGTTTTCAGAGAAACCAGGTCACCGAGGGAAGCGGCTCATTTGCATGCTCTCTCCTGACCCAGTAAGTGGGGATTCAGACACGAACGCACTCAGCTGATGATCCGGCGGAGCGCGCCGCTTCCTGCCGGTGACGGTTCCGCTGAGCAGCGACGCAAACGGAGAAAACCGTAGAAACCACCGGAGAACCTCATTACAACCCGTATTAATCTAATATTCATCAAACTGTTGTGTTCACTTAATTACACCCAGATGCCTGCAGCAGAGCTGGACAGCTAGAGATGAATGATAAATGCAGAATCACTATTTGATGAAGGTCTGACTCATCGTTCATCGACCTCCTGATGTCATTCGGGACGATGAACAGACAGATTTTTAAATTGCCAAACTAACATTTCTAATCTAATCAGAATGAAACCTTTCTAACTCATCTGGTTGAGACGTGTTCGCTGCAAAAACACAATTTTAGTCTCGTTTCTGGCAAAAATATCAATAAAGACAAAACTAACGTAAAAGTTAATCCTATTTCGAATGAAAAACTTCTTGTTCCATTGTCAGATTATTTTATTAAATCCATGGGGAAAATATCTTGTATTAAGGGAAATATTCTGTTAATGGAACAATGAAGGAATTATTGACGTAAAACAAGCAGAAAACTTATTTTTACCTTAGTTTTGTGTTATTTCATGTGTATTAAGATATTTGCAACAGAAACTAGATCAAAATTAGCTGGTAAGATTTTATTAAAACCGAAATAAACCAAAGTTTTTTCATCGTCTCCTTCCTGCTCCTGAAGAGGCAGACGCCTCTCCTCCCCCAGCTCTGTGTGTGTGTGTCTGTGTGTGTCTCTGTGTGTGTGTGTGTGTGTCTCTGTGTGTGTGTGTGTCTCTGTGTGTGTGTGTGTCTCTGTGTGTGTCTCTGTGTGTGTGTGTGTGTGTGTCTCTGTGTGTGTGTGTGTGTCTCTGTGTGTGTGTCTCTGTGTGTGTCTGTGTGTGTGTCAGTGTGTGTGTCTCTGTGTGTGTGTCTCTGTGTGTCTGTGTGTGTGTGTGTGTGTCTGTGTGTGTGTGTGTCTCTGTGTGTCTGTGTGTGTGTCTCTGTGTGTGTGTGTGTGTCAGTGTGTGTGTCTCTCTGTGTGTGTCTCTGTGTGTGTGTGTCTCTGTGTGTCAGTGTGTGTGTGTGTCTCTGTGTGTGTCTCTGTGTGTGTGTGTGTGTGTGTGTGTCTCTGTGTGTCTCTGTGTGTGTGTGTCTCTGTGTCTGTGTGTGTGTCTCTGTGTGTGTGTGTCTCTGTGTGTGTGTGTCTCTGTGTGTGTGTGTCTCTGTGTGTCAGTGTGTGTGTGTGTCTCAGTGTGTGTGTCTCTGTGTGTCAGTGTGTGTGTGTGTCTCAGTGTGTGTGTGTCTCTGTGTGTCAGTGTGTGTGTGTCTCTGTGTGTGTGTGTCTCTGTGTGTGTGTGTCTCTGTGTGTCAGTGTGTGTGTGTGTCTCAGTGTGTGTGTCTCTGTGTTTGTGTCTGTGTGTCTCTGTGTGTGTGTGTCTGTGTGTGTGTGTCTCTGTGTGTGTGTGTCAGTGTGTGTGTCTCTGTGTGTGTGTCTCTGTGTGTCTGTGTGTGTGTGTGTCTCTGTGTGTGTGTCTCTGTGTGTCTGTGTGTGTGTGTGTGTCTCTGTGTGTCTGTGTGTGTGTCTCTGTGTGTGTGTGTGTCTCTGTGGTGTGTGTGTGTGTCTCTGTGTGTCTGTGTGTGTGTGTGTGTCTCTGTGTGTCTGTGTGTGTGTGTGTGTGTGTCTCTGTGTGTCTGTGTGTGTGTCTCTGTGTGTGTGTGTCTCTGTGTGTGTGTGTGTGTGTCTCTGTGTGTGTGTGTCTGTGTGTGTGTGTGTGTGTGTCTCTGTGTGTCTGTGTGTGTGTCTCTGTGTGTGTCTGTGTCTCTGTGTGTGTGTGTCTGTGTGTGTGTGATGACAGATCTCTGCTGTGCGCCGCTCCACCTCTGCTCCACTGCGGCTCAGGTTGGTGATGTTCGCGGCGGTTCATCACCATCGCGGCGGTTTTGGGTTCGCACCGTTTGAAGCCCCCTCGTCGTCTCCATGGAGACCATAAAAGGCGTCGGCTCGTCGTTTGGGAAGAGGCTGATGAACCGGATGAGAAGAGCCGGCGCCGAGTCCGATCACAAAAGAGGAGGGAAGTGAAGACGGAAAGAAGAATCGGGTTTAGATCTTTGATTCAGTGGAAACGTGTTGATCAAACCGATGAATTATTAACTCAGCTGGGCAGAAACTATTCACTCAGTTACATTTAATAAGTACATGGTCTGGAAAAAGATTTAGTTTTAGCAGTAAAATCCACCAGACACAGAAACACACCTTTTCCTAACTTTTTATATTGAAAGAATCTGATTTGGAAACATTTTCTTTTGCATGATTTGTTAATAATATGAATTATTGTCATTTCTTAAAATACCAATATTTCCACATAACTTTACATTTTGATCCGCCTGATGATGTAATTTTTAAATATGAAATGATCATTTTCTCAGTACTTTTGCAGACCCAAATTCTTTTCTACTCTTACTTGACTATGTTTTTCAGGTTCTCTCACCTTTATCACCTCTGGTAATTAGAAACTCATTAAATCCTGGACTGGGTGGATAAACGGACCTGCAGCGTTTTCTTTAACCAGCTGTCGTTGGTGTTAATGTAACACTAACCATCTTAAAATGAAGCTTTTTATGTATTTCTTGCAGTAGTTTTTTCCACTCGTCTGGTGATGACAGTATGAAATAGAGACGTGATACTGACAGTTGTTTGACTGGAAACTGGCTGAAACAAGCCAGACTCATGATTTAAAATAGTTCAGAAGCGTCTGGAACCGTTCTCATGTTCTGCACCAGCTTCAGGTTTCACATATCAACAGTCAGATTGACCATAAAGGTGGAAGAACATCAGCAGTTATGGTCGGTTTAAACTCAAACATTAGAGTTTATTCCAGATTAGAACGGGCTCTGATTGGACGGCAGGGCGTTGCGGATCAGGAAGAGGCGTTTGGATTTGGGTGAAGTGAGTTTAAAGCGGGAACAGAGACGCTGATCCGGCCTCGGTCGGACTCATTTCCTCTGACAGGTCGGCTCTCTGCCTTGGGGCTCAAACTGCGCTCCGTCCATTTCCATTCACATGTGGAGCCGCGTCTCTCCTCCAGGTCAGACATGATCGACTCACGCTCAGCTGCCAAGGCTGGACCCAAACTGGCTTCATGACAGAAGCTCTTAAATGCCAGACGACACCAGCGAGAACTTTCCTGACAGTCTGTCTAAATGATGTCGAAACTTTAAAACGTTCCTGATGGAGCAGTGCAGCCTGGAATATTATCAGAGCGGGATTTAGGAGTTTAACCTCCAAGTCTCAAAGTTATCAACCTAAAGTCTGTTTGTTTCTCCTTGTTTAGTTTAGATATTAATGATTCATCTTTGGTTATTAGATGTTTGCTCAGCTCTGTTTGTCTTCCTGTTTCCATCTGAGCGGGGAGTCAAAGCTCTGATTGACGAGGTTAATCTCTGTTTAAATGTCAGAGGTCGTCAATGTGAGGTGTGTGTGTGTGTGTGTGTGTGTGTGTTCAAGCTGAGCAAACATCCAGCCTGTGTGTCAGATTTCACCTCCTCCTGTGTTAGTCTAACGCCGCTGTGCGATGTAGAGCGCCGGATCAGCCCACATTCTGCCTCAATCACCAGCAAAACTCTGGACAAAATATTCACGGGAATCTAAGAGTTTAATCTAAAATATGATGAATATCATCGATGAATCGGAGGAGGAACAATCCAGAAATAACCAGAACAGAGTTTATGTGGATGCAGGATGTGGTGTCAGAGCGGCGACAAATGAATTCTTGACCCATATTCTGGATTCTGTTGATGACGACGATATGAAAGGAAAAACAACCTTAAAACACAACGTGTTTATTTCTGCGCTTGTTAGAATCTGACAGATGAACCTGAAGAGATCGACGGAGGACCGACTGCAGCAACACATTTGGGTCCAAAGCGATGACCCGGTTGTTCTGCAGAGCTGCGTCCAAACGGTTCACATTTGTTTCCTGAGACTTTCTGAGAGGTCCCGATTTTTATCATAAAGATGAAAGAAGGTTTTCCTTCCTCTGATCCGTCCTCAGACGAACCCGCTGGTGATCGGCCAGGAGTCGTGCGGATCGGCTCCAATTTATGGGAATATTTTAAAATCTTCATTGTTTTAACCTGGGAGGAAACACAAAGCTGCTGCTGCTCCTCCAGCGCCGAACGCAGAGCTGGAGGTTTGAACCTCCTCTCTCTCCTGCCTCCTACCAAAGCCACAATCTCTCCCAAATCCCCAAACTCATCCCAAAATCCGTCTCATCTCCGTTCCTCCCAGGTTTTTATTTTTTCTTCGTCAGCTGTTTGAGCTGCTTTGAGACGTTGGAATAAAAAAACAGATTCATATTGAGCCGAGCTTCACTCCAACAGGCTGAATCCTGCAGGAAACACCAGGAGAATCTCACTGGTTCCAGACAGAACTTACTGGTTTTTACTGGTTGGGTGATTATTGTCATCATGTTTACAGTTTAAAATAGATAAATGAATTACATCCATCAGTTCATCCATCATCCATCCATCCATCAGTTCATCCATCCATCCATCCATCCATCATCCATCCATCCATCCATCCATCCATCAGTTCATCCATCCATCCATCCATCAGTTCATCCATCCATCCATCCATCCATCCATCCATCCATCCATCCATCCATCCATCCATCCATCCATCCATCCATCCATTCATCCATCCATCCATCCATCCATCCATCCATCCATCCATCCGAAGCTAAAGAACCATAAATTGTTTTCATTTATTACATTCAGGTTTCCTGATTGTTGTTTGATTTATTAAACTACAGTAATTTCTCCATCTGTCCTCATCAGATAAAAACAACTTTTTTCATCCAACGTTTGAAGAGTTGGATGAAAAAAGTTTTGTTTTATGATGTAACCTTATGAGTTAATAAGGAGAACCTGTCATGAGCCAAAAAGCAGAAATAATGATTTTTAATGAAGCCTTTATAATTAGATTGATCAACGAATGTCTGCTTCTAGATGATCCTGCAGTTCTTCAGCTGCTGGCAGATCAAACTCCAACCGGGGAAGCCTTCAGTGTTCTCTGAATCATTGACTTTAATGATCAGAGAACATTCAGCTGCAGATATTACAAACAAGCAGAGCAGAAAATTAACACCAGGGCGGCTGGAGGGTCCCAGTCTGTGACTGGGAACGCTGCCTCCGCCTCCATCACTGCCTCCGCCTCCATCACTGCCTCCGCCTCCATCACTGCCTCCGCCGCCGGTCTGAAAGCATGTCAGCCTCTGGAACCGGTTCAAAGCTGCACTCTTTGCCCATTTAAAGGGGCAGTTTTATGTAAAATGGACTTTTTTGAGTCCTCATGTCATCATGTTAAAATGTTTCTCCCTCATCAGAAATAAATCTTAAATGTTGCTTTGATTATTTTATGCATGTTTGCATGAAATAATCTCCATGGTGACCCATTCAGCTGTGCAAAATGGCTGGGTGGACTTAGCCCCGCCTTCGAGGCGTTGCTCCTCCAACTCTCAGCTCCTTCAGACTAGCCAGCAGCAATTAGCAAGCACCAGGTGGAGCTGCTGAGCTCGTTATAGGTGCTGCTTCTTTGATAAAATTGTTGTTAAAGGGTTAATAGAGGAGCCATGTTGCGACGACTTCCTGAGCCTCATACAGAGCTGGAGCTTCTTAAAGAGACAGAGGCACAATTTCAAGGCGCTAAATCAGGAAGTCCAATTTGTTTTAAGTCATATTTGATATACAACATAATTACTTGATTGTGCTATAAGACGAAGGTATGTTCATGAAAAACTGGTTCTCACTTGGATTGAGGTCTGAACTTTGACTAGGCCATTCTATCAGATGCATCTGCTTTGATCTAAACCATCCGTTGGCTGTTTTTTGGGGTGGTTGTCCGCTGAAAGGCGACCTTTCGCCCCGGTAACAAATGTTTTTAATTTTTTCTTGTGTTTTGCTCCGTTCAGCGTTTTGTTCTAAATGACCTGCAACTCGCACACCAGAGGAAAAACTTTGCTGCCATTTTGTTTCCTGATGTTTGGAAGTGGAGTTAAAACTGAACGCTGGTTTGATGCTGCGGCTCTGTTTACATAAACTCCCAGTCCTCCCTGAAATCCTTTGTTCTTTATTTTTGTAGAAAACCAAAGCTCCAGCAGTGTGATCACTCCTGATTTCTCCTCATTTGAGTTCTGTGATTTGTTTCGTGGCGCTTTGAAAATTCAAACATCAAAGCGTTGACTTTCACACCGTCGCTCTGCAACTCGCTAATTGGTTTCAGTTTGATGACGTGTCTTCGGTTCCTAATCTCTCTGCTGTGTTTCCCTGGTCTGTTTCTGCTTAGTTTCAACGACTGATTTTATTTGTTTACGTCAAAGACTAAAGAGAAATTAGGAATTAGAAAAAAGCTGAACAAATGTGGCTTGTTTGGAGAGACTGTTTCTATAAAAATATGAATCACTTTAAATTGAGGTCAATGTTAAAACTATTAAACTATTAAAAAGATAAAATTGTGAAAAAATATTCAAAAATAAAACCAACAAAATGATGTAAGTTGGTTGATTTAAGAGGAATTTGGAAATGAGGGCAACTAATTCAGATCAGTTTATACTTTGGATTCTCCATACAGCAACAACAAAATGTGTGAACATCAGCGTGAAATAAAATACAGAATTAAAGATGGCGGAGACATCACTGAGAAATGGTATAAACAAAGTCCAATGTGGGATGAAAAATGCACTTTAAGCGCTTCTGCTTAGAAATAAAAACACTCGAAGTTTCACCATAATGCCGCTCATACTTCTCAACTTCTCAACCAGAAATCAGCCGAAGTTTATTAACGTGAGAAAACTACAGTTATCTGTTCATTCATTCAGTATTTACTCAGGTTTCCCTCAGAGTTTTATCAGCCTGGCAGCCACCAGGCTGACCCTGCCATGAGCGTTGCTTATTTATATATTTTAGGATTATTTTTCCCCTTATTAAGACTTTATGGTTAATGTATGGGAATTATTAATAATGTCTTCAAATAACACACAATTACCTTGTGATATTTTAAAATTTCCTGTCAACCTTAAACAGTTTTACCTGAAAAACATGTCTGGCCTGGCGCCGCCAGGCTGAGCAAGTTTTGAAGTTTTGATGGATGATACAAAGGAAAAAATGGCTGCTTACGTAGCGCAGTGGATTCTGGCTGTTACATCATGATGGTACCAAAAGCATCATGCCTGCTTTGTGCTGCAGATTTATCAATGAAAACAAAACGGAGCTGCTTCTCCCCGGTTCGGTTTGCTGCCATCTGAAACAGAATGTCTGCCCGGCCCGGCCCGTTTGGGCCCTCATCGCCTCTGGCCATATGAAGCAGCTTTAATGGCTGCTGCTGTTTCACGCTACGAGCCAATCTGGCGGCGCTCCTGCAGCCATCAGAGAGCTGTTAGTTCACTACAGCAGCAATAAAAGCATCCCGGACCTCCTGCGGTGCCGGATAGCTCCAGAGCCTCCGCATCCCACCGCATTGATGCAGATCAGAGCAGTGTTTATCTCAGGACGTGGATCCAATCTGGAGTTTCCAGGATTCTGACCTCCCTCTGCAGCAGAGAGGAGCCGCCATCTGGACCGGAGAAACCAGAACAAGAACCTGCTTTTATCAGAGCGTCTCCTCCCAGACGTCGCTGCCTGCAGAATGGAAACGACAAAACAAACCAGTGAAGTTTATTATGGAGCATCTGGTGGCTCAATAAGACGGCTGCCGCTGCGCTCTGGGTCGGAACCGTCGGCACTTTCAGCTCTGGGGTGGAAAGTTTCCTTATTCCTCATCTCAGGCCACTTATTTACTCTGAAAACATTCGACTCATCGCTGTCGTTCGCAGCGTTCAGCTTTAAAAAGTGACTTGGAAACTGAACAGAGAGGAATCGCAGCTACCGCTACAGACAGGTGGACCGAACCAGAACCTCCATGCGTCTGTCTGCAGCCCGGTGGGCCCAAACAACCCACATCCTATAAGATGCTAGCTTTTATCTCATGCTGCGTTCAGGTACAGCTGGGAAACTAGGCTTTTGCAAAAATGAAAAATGCAAAACTTATTACTGTGATTTTTTTTTCTTTTACCTGCTAAACATTTTTAATGAAATCTTCATATTATTAAAGATCTAAAAATGGCTTCAGATTGTTGCAGTTTCCTAATTTTTTGGTTTTGATTTTTACAATCTTTACTTGTGATCGAACAAAATCTTTAATAAATGGCCTCCAGGTCACATGTTGGGCCCCTGCTGATTAACTTGGCCTTGTCTGGGTTTTAAACATTTGAAGTCGTGGTGGCGTATGGCGGCGCTCCGGCAGCAGAATGAAGAAGCTGACGGATGTTTGCTGTGATGGTGAGAGGAGCAGCGGCTCCGGCTGCTGCTCGACTCTCATCCTCTGAGGCCTTCACCGCCTCACAATCAGCACTTTCTGCATCTTGTTCTGTTTTCTAGTTCTTGCAGCTTTCTTTTTAAACCGTCTGATTTGTGTCCGTTTCCTCCTGTGTGTTCTGCAGGCTGGATTTTCTCCTGAAGGCTTTTCGTCACGCTCATCGGTTCCTCATGCTGGGATTTACATTAGTGGATCTGGTAAGGACTCTGTCTCTCCCTTTAAATTGGCTTTCAGGCTATTAAGGTGTGCTCTCACCGTGTTCTTGTCATGTCGTGTTATTTGCTTCTCTATTCTGCGTCAGCCGTTGGAGGAGTTGCAGAGGAAATTATTTATATGTGCTGGAGGCATTTTTTTGTTGGGATTTAGCTCAGTGGCGGTGCCTCCTTCAGAGGACTGAGCTCTAAAAGAAGCACCACAGGCAGATCGATACTGCAGAGCCTCTCTTTTATGCTCTGAGGGACCATATTTGTTAAATGGAAGAAACTCGCTTCACACAATTCAGGCTTCCAGGTCAGATTGAGATGCAGGAGCTCATTCTGTGGATATTGATTTGTTTCCTGATAAACATTTAACAAGATTTGCTTTAGAAAGGTTATGAGTAGAATCTGGTTTCATCCTGATCACAATATCTCTGTGCGCGTAGGATCAATACTTTCATCAATATTAGTCTGCTTTTAATCACATCATGATATTTGTATAACTAGCTCAATACTCTATTTGGACGGCACCGCTAGCTAAACTTAATTGCGCTAAAGCTAAAGCGCTAAACCAATATGGTATTTAGAAGCTAATGCTAACATGCTAATGCTAAGACAATAGAAGACTGCTGAGTTGCAGATTGCTACATTAGCAGAGTCGACCAATCGCGTCAATGTTCTTTTGGCAATCTTATTCAACTGAAAGTTTAAAAACAGCCAAATACTCGAGTGTTTTAGAGATTACACAGAAACATTAACTTAGCGGAAGCTATGTGTGCTAATCACTTTCAGAGTGCTAGCATGAGAAACTCGCCGCGCTGTTAGCAGGACGCTTTCATACCTGCATCCAGATCTAATTCATTTTATTTTACCTAAGAAGGACTCGATAAAAAAACATTTAAAATATTTCATTAATATGTTGTTTACTTAAGGATTTCTGTAGAAACTATTCCACAAACATGAATTAAAAAAACAATGAAATTCCAGAAAGTCTAAATGAAACATCTTGACAATAAAAACATTTACAAACATTGCAAAAGAATGTCACAAAATAAGTTAAAAAGCAAAAATTTACCAATTTCAAGATTAAAAGAAACCATGATAATCTTACTTTATGTGTAATTCCCATTTATCAGTTCAATATTATTTCATTATTTATTGCAGATTTTTACAGTTGTTTTTAAAACGTTCATGATTACCTCTCCTCCTGAACCATAAAGTTTTTCTTCTCAGGGTCTTTTTAGAGCTCGGTTTGTTTGTCAGTTTGTTAATCATGTAGAATATGAGCGCGGTCCAGTTTCAGAGGCGTTTCCTGGTTTTTGGTGCTGAAGTTGCTCTGCCTGGAGCTGGAGACTCAAACTGCTGATGGGGATTTTAGCCCAGTTTTCACAGCTTCCCTCATCTCCTCTTCCCACTTTCACACCTTGCTTTCGATTAGCCGCCTCCTTCCCCGTCCTCAGCGCCGCAGTCTGCTGCAGCGGAGTCATCCCGATGAAGATCCGCCTCTGAGTGACGGATCGGACCAACCCGCTGGCTTCATGACACAGAAACCGGCTCATGAGTGCCGAGCTAACAAAGCGGCGCTAATGAAAACTCCCTGCTGGATGGAACGAGGTCTGCCCGACCTGCGGTGGTTCTGCTCAGTCAAACGGCGCCACCAGCAGATAGCAGTAAGAACAAAACAGCAGAATAACGAGAGATCAGGCAGGTTTTCACACAAAAAGCTGCCACAATTAATCAATTAATAAAACAAGCTCAATAATTTCAATTTGCATGATTTATGGTTTTCTCTCTTTATTCTAAGAACCGGATGATAATCACTGCTGGATTAAACTTTTTATGAATAACGGTTTTGTTTACAGAGGCTTCATAAGTCATTTAATTTTTTGTTTCTGTTGATCATTTGTTGTGAGTATTTAAAATCGCACCAATCTTTTAAAAAGCCTCAGCTGATTTTGGCCAAAGCCGATTTGGCAGCAGACATGAGGCGGTTTATCAGGCGAAGCTGCAGCAGGGAGGCTGCAGCAGGGAAGCTGCGATGAGTTATACTTTGCTGCGCTAAATAAGATCATGTTTTCTCAACTATCCCTTCTTTTGAAGGACAGTTTTCTTTACAGAGACTTTATAATTCATTTTGCTTATTTTTATTTGAATATATTTAAAATGTCTCCCAATTCCAGAGTTAAATGTTTGCTAGAATTTAAAGTTTTATGTCTGTTAGAATGTGTTCTTGCATTATTTTGCCATTATTACTGTTACATTATTTTAAAACAACAACCAACCTCATTGAGCTTTTCCTCCCATCTACCCTGCTCCCATTCAGAGGACCTCTGACCTCTGACCTCTGCCTCTCACCGTGTCTGAGCTGCGGGGAAACCTGGCTAAACTCTGACTAACCGCTGTAACGAGGTAATCCCTGTTTCAGAAACCAAAGCTTTGGTTCTGGTTCTGGGTCGGAACATTTCCTGAATGGAAACCAAATGTTCAGTTAAATATCTGTTGATCGTCAGTGAAACGCAGCAGGTTGACGGCGCTCAGCTCCGCTAGAGGAGCAGCAGCATCAGCAAAACAAAACCTCCAGGTCGGATAATCGGCTGAAACCAGAACCCAGCTCCCATCATGCTCTGGGGGATGAACGCCGACCACATGCTGCGGCAGGAAACATTAACATCACAAACCTAATCTCAGGTATTCCTTAATAAACCATCACTGTAGACTCCTGCTCATGAATACCAGATTATAAACCAGTCCCCAGTTTGTTATTTTTTAAAAAGGAAAATGAAGGAGAAATGTCACTCTCTGTGATTCCTCCCTTTGCAAAGATCTTAAATAAAACAGTCAGATTGTAAAGTGGCTTTTGGAGGAAGATGTTGTCATTCAGTGTGAGGTCAGAAGGTCTGCCTGTTTCATTTTTCACATGGCATTACATGCGTTCATTCCACAGAAAGATGTTTTTCCACTATTTAATGTTAATATTCACAGTAAACAGAAAATAAAAACCTCACATTAAGTTTTAGAGAAATGCAGAAATGACATAAGATCATGCAACGCCTCCATGATGGAGGCAACTTAACGAGCATTGAGTTCACATGTTGGGCAGCATATGGAAAAGCTTGAGAGAAGACGCACATTTCTGTAAGAACAGCAGCTCAATGAGAAGTGAGCCAATCAGTGGCAGATTGTTTTTACTGCAGCGGTTTTCACACAGCTCAGTGTGCTGAGAACGGCCCGTCAATGAATCCATCGGTCAATCAACAGACAACTAATCAGTAGCGCATCTGGTTATTGATTATCTGTCGGCTCACAGAGACATAAACAAACTGTTGGGTTGTGAGATAAAAGTTTTGTTCTGGGGTCCAGCGGGAAAACCAGGACTATTTTCTGCTTTACGGGCCTGGAAGCTCCATCCTGGCTCATCAGGCCTAAATGCTCCACAGTGTCACCTTCAGCTCTGTGGAAATGTGAAACTTGAGTTGATCCTGAATTGATCCCGACTGCTGAGCGTCGACAACGGAGATGAAATCCTTTGCGGTTGGTTTTCTGTAATAAATCGCTGATAATTCATTAATAACTTCTGTAAAGTTGCTCTGGACCTGATGGAAACGTGTGGAACAAATGCTGCAGCGTTCTGGTCACCCGCCAGGATTGTTTCACTGGTTACACTGTAAAACTTTGTTAAAATCACTGTTATTAATCTGGACTTTAATAATAATCAGTGGACAGTTTGGGGTAAAGCTTTATTATTTATTTGCTTTATTAATGTCGGGACATAAACACTGAGAAAGATCCAAACTTTACCAACAAACGGATTTACTCTCGCTCTCCATCTCCATGGAGACGACGAAAGCAGAAGTCAGCGCTTTTTTAATTGAATATTTCTGCTCATGTCAACAGATTTTATTAATGTCTTGAATGTAAGACAGCAGATTCAGCTCAGACAGGATTGAATGTGTTTGCAAACAAACAAACAAACAAAAAAGTTTGAGCTGCAGAGGACGAGTGAAAAAATGCTTCAAATATTCAAGCAGTTAGAAAAGTGCAGCATCCTCCCAGTGCAGAGCCAGTTGAGGCCCAACTGGTTATGAAGGTTTTCCCAGTGCAGAGCCAGTTGAGGCCCAACTGGTTATGAAGGTTTTCCCAGTGCAGAGCCAGTTGAGGCCCAACTGGTTATGAAGGTTTTCCCAGTGCAGAGCCAGTTGAGGCCCAACTGGTTATGAAGGTTTTCCCAGTGCCGAGTGTCAGACAGATCAACACAGCTGAGGTCCATCACATTCAGTGAAACCGAGATCTGTTGACTTGAAACATTTCTATTTTAATACACAGACATAAAGGTACTGAACTACAAATTTATTTGATAACTGACATAAACCAACAGCTTCTCCAGTAAAATAACACGACTCCACTGAACATCAAACGTAAAATAATAAACTCAAAGAATTGACTTATCTACATGTAATAATGAACATGGTTCAGAAAATGCAGCTAGAAATTATAAATGTAGGATGAAATAAACAATACAGCATGATGTCACTCAGAGCACAAAGCATAGAAATACACTGAGTAGATCTGCCCTAATGTCAGCAATATCCCACCTAGAATGTTTTTCAATATTGGAGCTGATATAGATATTGAAATCTGATTGGTGGAGGCCTGGAGATGAAGTGATGATGCTGGTTGTGGATCCAAACCCAGGAAATCCGGCTGAATCGTTTCGCCAGCAGCACATTGAGCTGGACCTTCTCCATCCTCCCTCGCTGTCCTCTCCTCCATCCTCCCTCACTGTCCTCTCCTCCATCCTCCCTCGCTGTCCTCTCCTCCATCCTCCCTCACTGTCCTCGTCTCCATCCTCCCTCGCTGTCCTCTCCTCCATCCTCCCTCACTGTCCTCTCCTCCATCCTCCCTCGCTGTCCTCCCTCGCTGTCCTCTCCTCCATCCTCCCTCACTGTCCTCGTCTCCATCCTCCCTCACTGTCCTCTCCTCCATCCTCCCTCGCTGTCCTC